AAATTTCATTAAGTAGTATATGAAACAATTTCATAACCACATATGAAACAACTTCATCAAAAAAAGTATTATATGAAACAATTTCACAAGATTAACAATTTCATGAAAAAAATTCACAAGATTAACAATTTCATGAAAAAATTTCATAAGATTAACGATAGATGAGAGTAGTTTTTACGGCTTTTACAAATTGGAGTGGTTTTCATTTGATCGCTTATATATATATATATATATATATATATATATATATATATGGGTTGGTTCAAATACTAACCAAGATTTTTGTGTTAACTTTGTGTCTTTGTTAACCAATCTCAACCAATCATATTCCATCTTTTCTTTAGGTTCACATATAACTCATATATTAATGACAAGAGTAATTAAGTGATTTGTCATTTATCTAACTCCCAAATCATTAATTGGGAGTTACAAATCTAAAAATCTCAATAATTGATGATTATGTAATATTGATATTTTTTTATACGTGTTTATGTTTTGTAATTTCGATTTATTCTATCTATAATGATATTGATTTTGTAATTGTTAAATAATTTCTGATTGTAAAGATTTCGATATCTTCCTATTAATATGGATAAACCTATTGGAAACCATATCGACAACAATGAGAATGAAAATGTTAAAATCGTCTACGACTACAATCGGAATTCGAATTCATATGTAATTGTTAAAGAATTGTTCACAAGTGTTCATATTGTGTTCATATGTACACTAGCTGCATATCTCAACATTGGTTTGCTCCTGAATGTATTCATAATGAAAAAACTATTGTTCACAAACTGTTCATATAGTGTTCATATGTACACTAACTGCATATCTCAACATTGGTTTGCTCCTGAATGTGTTCATAATGAAGAAACTATTGTTCACAAATTGTTCATATTGTGTTCATACCTGCTTTTTTATTTATTTACTTTCGCGTAACAACTATTCTTATTATATTCATATTGTGTTCATAAATGTTATACAGTTCAAGTTCATATATATGTCAAATTTTGTTCGTATTTGACACAATGGTTCATATATATGTGTGTGTTCATATGGTTCTTACATTAATAAAAATAATGAGATTTTTTGATTTTGTAACCCCCAATTAATGATATGAGAGTTACATAAAAAAGAAAATTACCTAAATACTCTTTTCCCCTTTGTTCACATATGTTATTTGAAATTGTAAATTTAAAAATTTAATTTTTTATCATGATCGATCCCTTTATTTTAAGAATCAATGTTCAAAATTGGTTAACAAAGTTAACACAAAAATCTTGATTAGTATTTGAACCAAGCGCGCGCTCTCTCTCTATATATATATAAAATCCTAACGGTATTTAGTTGTTTACCCATTTGCTCGCTCCCTCATAGATTGGAGAGGAAAATTGGGTGGTGGCTTTTGTTTATCTCGAAGATACCACTCCCTAAATATTTTGTTTGTATACACAACTCGTCCCTACAAAAATAAAATTTGAGTATTAGTGCTAGTGGTGACTTTCATCGTCTATTTTACTTATTGTTTTAAAGATGGTTAATTTATTTGGGTTTCCGGTTGATAACGAAGACATGATATATAATTAAGTTTTATAAATATATATATATATATATATATATATATTTTTTTTTTCAAAAGTTAAGAACTAGTCAGAATTCATTGTTAATTTATTTTAGTTATTGTTTCAAAGATGGTTAATTTATTTGGGTTTCCGGTTGATAACGAAGACATGATATATAATTAAGTTTTATAAAATAAAGTTGATAATGAAGACATCACATATATATATATATATATATATATATATTTCAAAAGTTAAGAACTAGTCAAAAGTCAATTTTTCATTCTTATAAAGTAATAAGTAGTTACATGTATTTTTGAATATTTCATTTCTACTTGGTTTATCATCACCACCAACTCCCATATCATATGGGTGTGAACCACTAGTCACTAGTGACTTTAGGTCTTCACCTGCCAGTGACTAAGTTGCATACCGCCAAGATTTGTGAGAAGATCATGAAATTCTTTGAGGAGAAGACCTTTGAAATCGTAGATCACAGCCTCGACATGAAAATAGTTGTCGGAAATGACAAATGATAGCAAGAGAGACCTTTGTGTGGTTGTATGCTAACTAGCAAAGGACAAGGTAGAGCTTCATATGACCATTGATAAGACGGATGTACACTTGCTTCAGTTTTAATTAACTAATTGATGTTGGTGATTTGTATCTCTAATATCATTTAAGTATTAATTTGTTAACTAATGTAATCATGATAAATATCAAACAAGTAAGGAAGGTGCGAAATGTATACTTGTTTGAGTTTATTTTGATTTAGGGGCGAAACCCTAAACGACGAGGGTCCGGGGGAAGCCCCTGGCTGGATTTTGACCACGGTTTGAAAACCCAGTTTTTATTCGGATAATATTGCCTTTGTGATACATGATTTTCAATGGAATCCAAGCAATCGAAAACTAGAATTTATGCATGGAATGGAAAGGGAATCATCTTTATTTGCACATTCAATAATTATAACCGTACCATACATGAATGGATGCGTTTTGAACATGTTATGCTTTTAAGGCCATCGACATCAACTTTTTGCACTATTTTGGTGTAAAAAAATATATAAATTAAACATTAATTTTTCTCCCACCTACTACATCATTTTAAAGTATTTTTGTTTTGAGAAAATTGCACTAAAATAGAACCAATTTTCACCTGATTTTTATTTTGGGGAACCAATTTTCAAATTGTCATTTAAAGGTTTCCATCAAACTTTTTGTTTATTTAAAGGTCTAGTTGACATGTTAATGCTGACATCATTCAGATCTTTTGTCAACTAAGATATTGCACGTCATATTAAATTTTTTATTTTAAAACTAATATTTCACGTCATATTTAAAATTGCAAAATAGTTATAAAAAATAACTAAAATTCGTTTTTTTTCCAAAAATTATTGTAATTTTCATTCCAAATTTCGTTTTTTTTAATCAAATATCAAATTGCGAGTAAAGAAGTCCATTTTTTAAAAAATCTTCAATTTGATATCTGAATTAAAAAAAAACGAGATTTGAAATGAAAAATAGAGTTTATTACAATAATTTTTGGAAAAAAAACAAATTTTTTAATTTTTTTTCTATAATTATTTTACAATTTTAAATATGACGTGGAATATTAGTTTTAAAATAAAAAACTAATATGACGTGGAATACTAGTTTTAAACTAAAAAACTAATATGACGTGGAATATCTTAGTTGGCAAAAGATCAGGATGATGTTAGCATTAACAAGTCAACAGGTCAACCATACCCTTAAATAAACACAAAGTTTGATAGAGACCTCTTAAATAACAATTTTGAAAGTTGATTCCCCAAAATAAGAATCAGGTAAAAGTGGGTTTCACTTTGATGCAATTTTCTCTTTTGTTTTTTTCCCAAATTTTATCAGTTTAATCTTTAAAAATCAAAATAATTCCAAGTATTATGTAAAAGTAAAAGCTTATTTAAAGGAATTATTATAAACTTACGATCAAATTGACAAAACAAACCTTAGTGGACCATAACGACGACAACCGACACTTTGGTTCAGTGACCACAAACGCTACGTTACGACATGCACCACAAAGACTCGACTCTTCGTGGCACTGCCATCACCACCCATAGCAACACTTGGTTTTACTTAGGCTGCCAGCAATAGCAAATAACAAGTCACGGTTACTAAGATCCAAGTACATGAATTTGAAGGAATTGCTACCGACTCGACACCGTTATGAAATGGAACAAGGTCGAACAAACTTAGGTTGACGTAAATATCATCGGAGAGTTTTCTCGTACCGATGGAACACAGACAAAATCCGCTGCCCTTGGAGCGGTCAATCCAGCCCGTTCATCCATATCCAATACTTGTTTTCCGTTAACATTCCATTCGAAGCATTGTATGAGGCCAGCAATCACAACCGGGAGTTCTCTCATCGCCAAATTAATACCCGGGCACCCTCTTCTTCCGGTTCCAAACGGCAAAAGTTGAAAACTTTGGCCCTTGATGTCTAAGGACTTTTTAACGGGATCGTCTTCTAAAAAACGGTGAGGTTTGAACTCCAATGGGGATTCCCAGTATTTAGGGTTTCTTCCGATTGACCAAATGTTGACAAACAACATGGTGCCGGCGGGAATGTCGTATCCTTGAACGCTGACGTCTTCAATCGATTTGCGAATCAACATCGGGATTGGCGGATGAAGTCGTAAGGCTTCTTTTATGATTGCTTGGATGTAAGGGAGGTTGGGAGCATCTGATTCTTGAACTAGCCTCTCGTTTCCGACAACCTGATCAATCTCTTCTCTCGCGATTTCGAGCACCTTAGGGTTACTAATAAGTTCGACTAGCATCCATTCTAAGGCTATTGCTGTTGTATCCGTTGCAGCCGTAAAAAAGTCCTATACAAAAACAATATAATAAAAAAATTACATACGTTTTTTACATGGTCGGCTAAGAGCATCCACAATGTTTTTAGCACCATTTTCAACAAATTCTCTAAAATGGAAAAATAGATATCTTCCACATATTTTTTGTTACAACAGATTCTGTTTTTTTTTTTTTATTAACATGGATATCCAACCCGCTATGCGAGCCGACTACTCCCAGGGCGACCACCTGCTTTTGCAGATAGCTCGGAGTCACCGCATTTGAATCTCCATGGTCACAAGGGGATTTTTATTTTCCTCGTTGGATTTGAACCTGGGACCTCCTGATACTTTTGACCTTTGGAGCCAAGTTCAAACCAATTATGCCCCACTCTTGTGGTTGCTACAACAGATTCTTTAAAATGGAGAAAGTAGGAGAGTGAATGTAAAAATCTCTGAATTTGGAGAACACCCCGAAATGATTACAATTAGAAAGAAATATTATTTAATATATTTTCAACAACAGGAAATTTTAAAAATAATATTTACAGAGAAAAATAATATTTTATGAGATAAAAGAAGATTCTAATAATATAATCAATATTGTAATCTATAAAATGGAAAATCTGTTGAAAGTTGATTGTATTTTTGTTCTTGAGATTTTGAAGTTTCATCCTCCATTTTAGAGAATTTGTTGGAGATGCTCTAAATGACTTTTTACTTTTGTTACATCAGCTTTCCACTTATTTTTTTTAACAAAAAACCTATGTTTACAAATATTTTCCAATGCAAAAACCTTTTCTAAAGTTTTTCATCAATTACATTATAAATTATCTTCATCTGTTAATTTAAAGTGTTTTATAAAAGTCCCTCATTTAATTTATGGTATTAAAGTGCATGCCATAATTTTTGAAAATAAAAATTACTAAACGTTAAAATTCAGACATTTAAAACGTTACAATAAATGCTATTTAGAAAAGTAGCTCCAAACCTAAATTTCATATCTGGCTTTAGTTTAGTCAAAAAACATCTACCGTACTTGTAATTCGTTAGTCATGTCTTCCATATTCTGCGCTAAAATTCTTATTGCTTTGAATCTCATTGATCGGTTGAATGATTTTTTTATCTCCTTGATGTTTTTATGTATGATTTCTTTATATTCTTTTAGGTATTTGATATCGGTATCATTTTAATTGTCTTGACGAGTGTTTTTTTATAATAGAATATATTTATTTGGTTTTATTATATATGTCATTTATAAATTTTTAAGAGGGTAAAATGAAAATCATGAAAAATCCAATAACTCGTGGTGAAGTCTTTAATAAGTCATCATGTACAATATGACAATAGCTTTTTTAAATGCCTTTTACTATGTCCATTGAAGATGCTCACCAATTCAGCCGGTGAGTGTTTAATATGACAGCATCTTTTATTAAGTTTTAGGGTTAAAAAAGCTGAGGTAGATCGATGGTGAAAACTTGTAATGTTGATCAGCTTTTTTAATATAATAGCTCTTAATAGCTTCTTAAATGTGGATTAGCTTTTTAAATGCGAAACCTTCAAGGTTTAAGGGGCTGATTACTTGTGGTTTAATTATGCTTACTGGTCTATCTGGTTCATTCGTACAACTTATTTGGGTTGTTTACTTACCAGAACATGGCTTAATCGCACAAAAAGAAATGGTGTGATGTCCCCATTCAGCCACAAAAATGACACCCCTACCATTTGTTTAAAACTTTGTCTCCTTCTCAAATGAGACACTCTATCGTCAACCTATTTATGATTTTTTGTTTTGATGTTCAAATAATTAATATCGGGGAGTAAATCGGTTATTTATGTTATCCAGACCGTTGGTTCGGATAAAAAAAAAAGTAAACAAAAACACCCATTTACCCAGACAAACAAATTTATCCATACAGGACTTAATAAAAAAAATGTGGTGAAAAAAATGTGGTGAAGGATAAAACTTACCAAAATCAAGGCTTTGACGTGGTCTCTGGTGATCTTAATCTCAGCTTTGGCATCCTCCAAAACATCAAGCAACATATCAAGAAAATCTTTGCCTTTACCATCTTCTCTCTTCCCTTCTTTTCTTCTCTTCTCTTCCCTCTCAAATATGATCTTCTCCAGCAAAGCATCATATCTTTTATGTGTATCTGTATACCTCTTCTTAAAACCTTGCAGATCGATGTTCTTGCAAAACCATATGAAATCCGAAACATTAAACTCCCCAAATATCTGCGTCACCTCTCGAACAAGATTCTTGGCTTCATCAGCCTCACTGTTGGTCCCAGAACATCGAATGCTCATCATCATCTGGCATATCACATTGTTCGTTAGCTTCAGTAACTCTTCTGTCAAATTGACACTCTCCCTTCTCTTGGCTTTCTCCGTTAATGTCTGTAAAAGCTCCTGAATCTCATGGGTTCGAATGGGGAGGAAATGACCCAGATTCTGATTGCCCAGAAGCTCGACTGTCGACATTTTCTTGATGAATTTCCAGTAGGGACCGTAAGGTGCGAAGGCAAAGGCGACGCCGTAAGTGATGTGATCAATGGCTAACGAGTGTTTACGTGAAGAGAAGGCGAGTTCGTTGGTTTTGAGGAAGTCTCGAGCGAGATCGGGAGTGGAGGCGACGATGCAAGGGACGGAGCCGAGACGGAGGTGGATTAGAGGGCCGTAGCGGGTGGAGAGGTGGTGGAAGGATTGGTGGATGAGTGGACCCAGGTGGTGAAGGTGGCCGATGATTGGTAGAGAAGGAGGGCTCGGCGGAAGACGGTGGTTTTGCTTTTTTTTGAAGAGTAGGTAGAGGAAGACTGATGACAGGACCACGGCGGCGATGACCGCCGGAGTAAGAGTTTCGTGTACTTGCATAGTGAGAGGAAGCGATTGGCCTCACCGTGAACTTGTGATCTGACATACTTTATCTATCCATTTTATAAACAAGAAAAGTAAAAAAGTGTGACGTAGTTTGGTCCATGTGTTGTAACTTGTAAGTAGTTATCGGAAAATGATTATATGGTTTACATTTTATAATTTGAACATCGTTAGATTTATTTAGAAACGAGGGCATTTTAGTCATTTGATTTTTTTTTTCATATTTTATTAAAAAAGTAAAATATATTATATTATTATAAACCAGAAGGGTACTCGTGCAATGCATCGAGACACATATTGATTTCAGTGTTTTGTTTTATTTCTTTTTTATGTCGATATAATATGATTTTATGTGGTTTTGAGAAAATGATAATGTTTTTRWTTTTAAATAAAATATAAATTTGAAAATATCATAAAATTTTGAAAAAAGATATATCGATATCGGTATCAAATTAATCTTTTTAAAAATTATTGTGTTTTGGTGTAGTTTTCTTAATTTAGGTTTAGTAACAAAGAAATTTAATTTAAGTTTAATAATATAATTTTTTATAAAGATAATTACTAAGTATTCTGTTAGAACTCAATAATTATCTTAATTATATTTTAATTTTTTTATTTAAAATGAGATGTTTATACAATATTTGATTATGTATGCAGTTAGTTACATGAATTCAAATATGAAGTTTTAATAAGTTGTACTTATGCATAATTAATTGTAATCTTAAATCTTAAGTAATATGCATCAATAAACAGCACTTCGTACATAAAAAATGATTTTTAAGAGTTTTTATCAAATGTTTTATAATATAGTATATATATATATATATATATATTATACATAGTACAAATCAAATACAAACTATGTAAAGGTTATGAACTATATAATCAATCTCAACGGTTCGTCTTATTTAACCAATATTTGGTTTCATAAATAGATTGATTATTTTATAATATAAAATATTGTTCATAATTAATGAACTTTAATCATTTTTCAATAAGTATCCAAATCATAATAAATAAACATTTATCATTTCCATAAATATGTTAATGGATTGGTTTTTGTGGTTTGTAACATTTATAGTTTGGATTTGATTTTCCCCCTATATATACACACCTACATACATACATACATACATCAATGGACGGTATGGGTGAAACTATCCCCCTCCTGCAGAGAAACCTCCCCGCCCCCACCCGGTATTCCATTGCTCATATCCACGACGGTGTACTGCCCCTTCCATCACTGGTCCCTCTCCAATCTCGTGGCCACCTAGGTTTCAAATAACATAAGCGTAAACCCATTACTCGTCACCTGTTATGTTTTTCAACTTGTTGGACAAGGGTATGGATAAAGAAAAAGTTTATCCATTTATCCGTTACTCGACATTAGGGGGTAGGGTATGGATAAATGGTTTTTCATTGTCTATTTATCTAACCCAATATTTATGGTTTGGAAAATCTCAATCCAACCCAACCCAACCCAACCCAATCAAAACTAAAATCCAACCCAACCCAACCCAATTAAAACTACACCTAATCCAACCCAAACCGTACAGGTGGGGATGGTGGGGGTGAAACTTTGATACATCATTTCACAATCTAAGAGATAAATGTTTGTGTTTAAAAGAAGTAAAATCTAAATGAGTAAATATAAAAAGAAAACTAACCACTCAAAAAATGAAGGTTCATGCAAATAAGAAAGTGTAATTATGGTTGAAATTGTAATATAATTTTGATATAACTAATTATGGGTTGATCTAATGTCTAATTGACATATATTGTAACACCCGGAATTTCGGTAAGTAGAATTTCAAGTTTACTGTATTTTATCACTGAAATAAGTTTTTGGTTAGTGCCTTGAAGTTAAAGTATAATGAGTGTCATCTTTTAGGCAAGAAAATGACTTAATTGGGTGAAATAGAGAAAAAAACTTAACATCACAGGATAGTGCCCGACGACAGTGCCAGAGGGCATTATCGCATGTTAGGATCACCCGGGTTGCAAAATTAGGGAGGAGCTCGTGGTATACATGGGGCTATAGTGCCCAACATGTCAGGATCTCCCGGAGGGGCTCCTGCAGCTTAAATGCTTGATTTTTCCAGCTTTGTTCATTCACTCCTCCTCTACCATCTTTTCTCATTTTTCCTCTCATCACTTCTCCTCATTAAATCCGATTATCTTGAGCATTTGCTCCATTTTGCCAACCATTAAAGAAGGTTCATACATTGCCTAAGCTAAAGATTTGAGTCTAAACCATAAGGGTGGTGCCTGATTGGTTTGAGCTTGGCTCCAAAGGTCAAAAGTGTCAGGAGGTCCAAGGTTCAAATCCAATGGAATAAAAATCTCCTTGTGGCCACGGAGATTCAAATACGGTGACTTCGGGCTATCTGCAAAGTAAGTGGTCGTTCTAGGATTAGTCGGCTCGCATAGCGGGTTGGATATCCAGGTTAATAAAAAAAAAGATCCGAGTCTAAGGTCCAAGAAACAACTAACTCATCTCCATATCAAGGGTTTTGTTGTTTTCTAGGTTTTCACCCAAAACCTAGCAATGTGAGTTTATCCTATATTTTTAAAAACCATACACATGTTAAAATGTTGTATTTTAGTTCTTTAGAGTTTTCGTTTCAAATATTTTACATTTGGTGACTTGTGTCCAACTAGGTCAAATTTGGGATTTTCGGAACTGGATGTATTTTGATGAAATGAGTATGGAGAATAACTATATACGCTATAAGAGTGATTACTTCAAAGTTTGATGGTTTTATCTTATGATTATTATAGACAAATTATGATATGTGGGTACAAGATAATATATTTGGAAGGATACATACCTTAGAATAGAATACAGTGGATCCATAGGCATATAATTCGACTTACAGGGATAAGATGGGGTAATTATTCCCACACTATGGCTAGATACGGGAATTATATCAGCGGGGGAATCAAACTATAAACCGTGGGTGGTTGAACTTGATGTTGATGACCATGTGACCTGTAACAATATATTTCTAGCGAAAGAACATATCTTAGTCATTGGGAGACTCGAGCTACAGACCATGGGTGGTTAAACTCGATTATCAATGTACTATAATAGAAACTTTATAACATTGAAACGTGGCTTACTTTTGTGTTCCGTCACTATCAATGGTAAATCGGGACTCCCCGTCATCTTTTCACCCTTCCAAGGGTAAATATAACTTAATTGTATGAAATGTCTTGATTAAAGCTATGTTTCCGGTTTGAAATGTTTTATAGCTTTATTTTATAATTGTGTGTTCTCACAAGGAGTAAAGTCTAACATTTTTTCTTAAATTGACAAGCATATCAGGTTCACTTAGCGGTGGAGCTCTGAAGTCTTGAACGGAGATCAGATGGGATGCCGTTAGAGGCATTATTGTGGATGATAGCTTTTGGTCAATTGGGTTTATATATCCATTGACAAGATTCTTTTGGGAGAAGATAGAGACACTCGTCCATAATCTAGATTTGGGGTAGCTAAGATCAGTAGGTTCTTATCTATCCTCTTTGTAATTTGGGTTGTAAACTCTATATTATTTCCCCATTTTGTGTGATTTCATATTTGATGTGATAAGCGGGTTGTTGAATAAAAGCTTGAGGGTTGATTTTAGAATGAGTTTGAATGTTGAGGGATGTGTTATGAAAAATTAGTTTTAAAAATATAAACCGTTACCGACTCTTCTTTTAATAATTTTTTGTCGCATGTGCTTTCCTTTTTCGGGAAAAAGAAATAAGATTAAGATAAGAAGAATTGGTAAGAAGAAAAGAAAATGGGTTGTTTGGGTTTGAAGAAACATAAGAGAAAGAGGAAGAAGTTGTTACGTGACTTTATCTGATTATTGTTGCTATTTAAAGTTTTCATCTATTTGTGATCAAGGTGAGTTTTATTTTAAAAAACATTATTTGATTTGTTTTTGGTGAATGAACCGTATGGTTTCTTGTTCATACGTGGTGTGTTATGAAAATTGATGATATGTTATTTTTAGCATAATATTGGGATTTGTTATGTTATTACCAAGAAATAATGATGACATAATCATGAGAGGTGTATTATGGGATAAATGTGACATAATCAGGAGAGGTGCATTGTGGAATAAAGATGGCATAATCACGAGAGACGTATACTAGGATAAGGGTGACATAATTAACTGTAAGTTGAAAATGAGATTTTGATCATGTGGAAACTGTTATCGCATTTGTGTAATGCGATGAGTTTGGTTTATCGCATCTTTATGATGCGATGAGATGGTATTATCGCATCCTTATGATGCGGGAAAGATGTTTATCACATCCTTGTGATGTGAGGAGTGTATTTATCGCATATATGTAATGCGACAAAAAGGGGTTATCATATCCTTGTGATTTTGAGGAAATTGATTATCGCATCAATGAGATGCGGAAAGTTGGTATGTTTTATGTTTGTTGCGATAACTTTGGTACTTCATGTGTTTGATGCGATGAAAAGAGGTTGTCTCATCTATATGATGCGACAAAAGAGGTTTGTTACAATAAAATGTTATTTACATGATATCATTTCAGTATTGGTTTTTCAAAAAATGTTTTTGGTGATTTTCACCCTGTAATTGCAAATAAGGGAATTACTCACTAGACCTTGTGGTCTAACCCTTATTTTGTGTTTAAAAATGTGTATTACAGGACGAGCACCGGTGCAAGGTAAAGGGAAGGGAAAGATGTGAAGGGGATTATTATTGTTTTACATCTGTGGGAATTTTGGGAAGCTGATTATGTCCATGTACTTAAGAATGTGTTATATACAAGTCATGTACTATACGTGAACAATAAGTTTGTAGCTACTTTTATATGTAGCAATTTGTACATTTGGGACCAGTGTGTAATTATTGTATTTCATGTTATATGAAATATGTGGATTTTATGCAAATGTAGAATGAGGTGTTACATTTGATAGGCTCTATTCTCATCTAGATATTTGGTTTAAATTTACTCCTATTTTAGGGGTGTTACATATATTAATCAAGAACTTGATAATTAT